TGTGTTCCTCCAGCTCCACACTGCGTTACCTAACTATTATAATCCCATTTTCCAGCTTTTGGCCCGTAGCCTTATATGCTTTCTGCTGCTTTATTGGTAAAAGTCTGAGCTTTTCTGTTTTGTTTTGTGGGCTTGTGGAGGAGGTGTGGTTCTCATTCCAACGAGTGCTTTCTTATTGAGAGAAAACATTTCCACTTGTCACTTGAGACAACCAGGAGATGGGTAAGATAGACATTAATAAATCCAGTCAGAACTTCAGGAGAAACTTCTTTACCCAGAGAATAGTGAGAATGGGGAGCTCGCACTCACCAGAGGTGATTAATGTGAATTAATGAGATTAATTTAAGAGGAAGTTGGAAAAATATTAATGCGACAAATGAGAGAGAAAGGAATAGAATGATACAGTGATGGGGTCAAATAAAGGTGGGGTTGGATGAAGCTTGTGAGGAGCATAAACACCAGCATGCTACAGTTGGGCCAAATGGTCTGTTTCAGTTCTGTAGATTCAATGTCATTCTATCTCAGGCATAAACAATTTCAGGTGTTCAGATGAACAACATAAAAAAAACCTGGAAAGCCCATGCAGAGTGAGGAATTAAAACCTGGTCCAGCAGACGAATGACCAAGGACCTGGTCAGTCAAATGTTTATTAAGTCCCACTGACCCCTTTAAGGCCTTTATTGAAGACCTTGCTGAGATGGCAGAAGAGAAACTAACTATAATGACCATTAGAAAAATACAGCCTAAAAGTTTATACAATCATAAGGTGTAGAGATAAGGCGATTAGCCAAGGTCTTTTTCCAATGCAGGCAAATAGGACAAGTTAAGTTTACGAAGCCTAGTCCGCATGGGCGAGTTGGACCAAAGGGTCTGTTTCCATGTTGTGTGACTCTATGACCCTCATTAATATGAAGTTGCAGACTCCATGTATTAATCAGACAATTTCAAACCAATTTCTGTATTCAGCTCTATTGGAGCAGATCAAAGCAGACAATCACTTAGAGAGGGGTGAACTGACTGCTCAGTTTTAACACTAAAGGTTTATGATGAGGAGAGGGATAAGGTGGTGCTTCCTGGAGTAGAGTCAGAACTCAAGATCAGATCAGGAATCCTGAAGATGAGATGTTGAGGAGGACAGGGAACATCAGTGAAGAAACTTTCTGCTTCTGCTGCAAGGGATAATCGCCCACATTCCTCCCACCACACATATAGACATCTCACACCCCACAACCGTCCAGTCACATTCCCTGGCTAGAGGCCACTTTTCTGGACTCAGGGTTAAAATAAAATCGAATAAAAGCGAACGATCCTGAGCTTCTTATTTCTCAGGTGCTGAGAATTGTGTACTGCTGCTACTTTATTGGTAAAAGTCCCATCTTTTTTGTTTTGTTAAGTGGGCTTAGAACATAGAACATAGAACAGTACAGCACAGTACAGGCCCTACGGCCCACAATGTTTTGCCGAACTTTTACCCTAATCCTAAGGTCTATCTAACCTCCACCACTACCTTATACTATCATCCATATGCCTATCTAATAGCTGCTTAAATGCCCCTAATGAGGCCGACTTCACTACCCTCTCCGGCAATGCATTCCAAACCCCTACCACTCTCTGAATAAAGAACCGACCTCTGACGTCTACCCTATATCTCCCTCCACTCACTTTAAAACTATGCCCCCTCGTAATAGCTACCTCCAACCCAGGAAAAAGTCGCTGGTTGTCTACTCTATCTATACCTCTGAAAATTTTGTACACCTCTACCAAGTCACCTCTCATCCTTGTGGAGAATATATGGTTATCATTGCAACAAGTGCTTTCTTATTGATAGAAAACTGGGGACGGGGGTCGGTTAGTTCAGTTGGCTGAAAGCAGGGTGCTGCCAACAGTGTGCGGGTAATTCTGAGGTCAGCATGAAGGTGTCACCTCCTCAACTTCACTCCTTACCTGAGGCATGGTGACCCTCAGGTTAAAACACCACTAATCATCTCTCTCTCTCTCTCTGACAGAGTGGGGCTGTGGGGACCTTGCTTTTTACCAATATTTACATATCTCCTAGACATATGAGAATTTGCAGCCCATATGTTGCTTAGTGTTATAAATAGAACCAACCAAAGCAATACCTTGTGCGCTTAATACAGTTGTCTTCGCTTCCAAGGCAGCATGCATATGCCCTACTTTAACATGGGCAATTAGAGAAGTCATTCCTACATGGATCAGGACCACCTAAGAACAGAGCAAAAATGAGAAGTATTATAAATCAAACATAGAGAATTCTGAAGGGGTTTGGCAAGCGAGGTGTAATGGTTATTTGATGTGAGTGATTGTTTTCTGTGTCTGGGGAATCCAGGACACAGCAGCACAGTCTCAGGAGAAGGAGTTGAACCTTCAGGATTGCAGCAAGGAGAAATTTCTCCAACCCGCAAGTTGCAAATCTTCAAATTCTGACTCCAGAGGTTTTGAATGATGTCCTAGTGGTATTATTGCTAGCCTATTATTCAGAATTACAGGTAATATTCTGAGGACCTGGGTACAAATCCCATCATGGAACATGATGGGTTTCGCACTCAATAAAAATCTGGAATTGAGTCTAATGAGGACCATGACAACACAATCGATCTTTGGAAAAACCCGTCTGGTTCACTCATGTCCTCTGGGGAAGGAAATCTGCCACCTTTACCCAGTCTGGCCAGCACGTAACTTCAGACACACTGGAATATAGTTGACTCTAAATTGCACTCAGGTGGCCCTGCATTTCGGAGATATTTGCTTGAAATTTTGATTTTCTGGTGCAAAGTTTCTTATCTCACCAAGATATACACTTTTCTGACATCTACTACTGATTCTTAGAATGTGTCTCTCATAAAACTATGTTCAAATATGACAAGATATGGATAATATCCAGGCTTGGGTTGACAAGTGGTAAGTAAGGGACAACAAGGTGTAGAGCTGGATGAACACAGCAGGCCAAGCAGCATCAGAGGAGCAGGAAAGCTGATGTTTCGGGTCTAGACCCTTCTTCAGAAATGGGGGAGGGGAAGGGGATTCTGAAATAAATAGGGAGAAAGGGGGAGGCGGATAGAAGATGGATAAAGGAGAAGATAGGTGGAGAGGAGACAGACAGGTCAAGGAGCCGGGATAGAGCCAGTAAAGGTGAGTGTAGGCGTGGAGTTAGGGAGGGGATAGGTCAGTCCAGGGAGGACAGACAGGTCAAGGAGGCGGGATGAGGTTAGTAGGTAGGAGATGGGGGTGGGGCTTGAGGTGGGAGGAGTGGATAGGTGGGAGGACAGGTTAGGGAGGCGGGTATGAGCTGGGCTGGTTTAGGGACGCGGTCGGGGGAGGGGGATTTTGAAGATTGTGAAGTCCACATTGATAAGTAACATTTGTGCCACACAAATTCCAGCAATGACCATCTCCAACAAGAAACAATCCAACCACCGCTCTTGATATTCAAAGGTGTTGTATCATTGAATCCTCCACTCGCAACATCCTGGGGTTACCATTGACTAGAAACGCCACTAGATTCACCATTTAAGGGAGACAATGCCCTAGTGGTATTATCAATGGACTGTTAATCCAGAGATCTAGATAATATTCTGGCGACCCAGGTTCAAATCCCGTCACGGCAGATGATGGAATTTGAATTGAATAAATATCTGGAATTAAGAATCTAATAGTGACCATGAATCCATTGTCGATTATTGGAAAAACCCATCTGCTTCACTAATGTCCTTTAGGGAGGAAAACTGCCATCCTTACCTGGTCTGGCCTCCATGTGACTCCAGACCATAGCAATATGGTTGACCCTTAACTGCCCTCTGGGCAATTAGGGATGGGCAATAACTGCTGCCTAGCCAGTGATGCCCTCATCCTGTGAATGAATAAAGGAAAATAAAATATAAAGAAACTGGCTACAAAAGCAGACCAGAAGCTAGTAATACTGTGGCAAGTAACTTGCCTCCTGACTCCCCAAAACTTGTCCATCATCTACAAGGCTCAAGTCAGGAGTGTGATGGAATACTCCCCACTTGCCTGGATGAGTGCAGCTCCAGCAACTACTCAAAAAGCTCAACACCATTGGACAAAGCAGCCCACTTGATTGGCACCACATCCACACCCTCCATCCCTGATGCTCAGTAGCAGCAATGTGCACTATCTACAAGATGCACTGTGTATATTCACCATAGATCATAGAATCCCTACAGTGTGGAAACAGGTCCTTTGGCCCAACAAGTCCACACTGACCCACCAAACAGCATCCCACCCATCCACCTACCTCTTTTCCCTGTAACCAACCTAATCTACACATCCCTGAATGCTATGAGCAATTTAGCATGGTCAATCCACCCTAACCTGCACATCTTTGGACTGTGGGAGGAAACTGGAGCACCCGGAGGGAACCCATGCAGACATGGGGAGAATATGCAAACTCCACACAGACAGTTGCCCGAGGATGGAATCGAACCCAGGTCCCTGGTGCTGTGAGGCAGCAGTGCTAA